TAGCACAATGATCACATTAATAAATAGATAATTATAACTTTGGCATGCATGCTGAAAGAAAGGTGTTTGCTGTTGTGGCAGAGCATAAGAAGAGATGACCTAGGCTGGGGAAATGAAGGAAGGCTTCTCCAAGCAAGCGACACTGAAAATGGAGGTCTTAAAGTTGAAGAAAATTTCACGTGGTTGGCACTCAGTGAGAGGGGATCAAAGGAGCATGAACTGGGATGGAGGAGACAGTGTGGTAGATTCTTGTGTCCACTCTCAGGGTAAAGGAAGAACCAGTGAGGGGACACGCCAGCCTCTGATGAGGGTCATCAGGACATGATCACAGTCCACAGTCACCAGGTGAAAAGCTTACCCTGGCTTCCTTGTGGGGAATGGAGTGGTGGTGGGAAGGGTATAATGGGTGCAGGGATAGGGAACAGGGGTGCAGGGAGAAAGTATAGTGGGTGCATGGAGACCATTAGGAGGTGGCAACAATCCCAGGTGAGAGATGCTGGCAGCTTCCATAAAGAAGGTGACCTAGGAAATGGAGAGAAATGGACAGATCCTAGAGGAACTTTCAGCACCAAAGTTTGGACACACGGTAGAAGCTCCCAGAAGTGGAAGAAGACAAAGATTTGTCCTGGACTGTATGTGGAAATGATAGAGCTCATCACATATTTCATTGCAGAAGACCTATGTGGTGTGGTTGCTGATTTTCAAGACTGCCTTTACCTGGAGGACTCTAGAGCAAGAAGGCATTACATACTTTGTAATAACCCAGTGGAGACCCCAATTACCTAAGAGCAACAACTGTTCATAGTGATAAGAACTGTTCATCAAGGAGGCTGTGTTGCCTCTGGAGACATAAGGGAGTTATTTAAATTCTCTTTGCCTCAGTTATATGCTCCATTAATTGGGGTAATGGTAGTTCCTAACTTACAAGGTAGGTATAAGAATTAGGTGAAATAATTCATTTAGCATAGTGACTGACAATAGTAAATAGTAAATATTATTTACTGTTATTATTAAAATAATGATGACATTCATCTCATTTAAAAAAATTGAGGAGTGATCATTTTATAACAGGCAAACAGCCTTAAAGAGGGTCACAGAGCATTAAGCAACCTTTGCAAAGCCACACAGCTCTTAAGTGGAAAAGCTGCTCTTTGACCCAAATCTGACACCAGAAGCTGTGTTTTTGACCACTGTGCAATACTGCTGCCAGAAGCAAGGAAAGTGGACACTGTCCCCACCTGCCATCTTTAGTTTAGGATGGACACATGTTACAGAGATGTTTCTGCCACTAGATCAGTAGGCAGGGAAGTACCCTTGAGGAGTAGTCAGCCTATCCACCCACTGACTAGAATAGTGATTCTGACTATTTTTCCTGTCTTATGTAAATGGTGATGGCTCCTGTGCCACGCTGACCATGGCAAACTTGATTCCTAAGGTGCAGTGAGTCATTAAAATAGGGAAACCTTTCCTTTTCTCCCGAGGGCCTTTCAGAATATCAAGATGATCCTATTAGTACCAAGCTTACAGCATACTTTTCTCATGAAATACTCAACACTGGTTGAAGTAGGTAGTGCTGGGGTCATTACTTTACAAATAGGAAACAGACACTTAAAGAGGTTAAATGTGTTGCCTGAGATCCCACATCTAGAAAGTGAAAGAAGCACCATTTGAACCCACCACTAGCTGACTATTCTAGCCTCACCATTCTCGTCTCCTATCTGTGTTACGCCTCCCATCCTGTGCTAACTCAGAGTGCCTGAAGCCCACCATTTCTCTCTTTTACCCCTAAAAAGGATCTGATTTCAGTTCTGTGCAACTAAGTACATTGTTCAGGTAGCTACCTTCCAGAAGTTTATTTTTATTTTAGCCTGCCTGTGATGTGCTGGAGCCTGCTTGTGTTGGCCCATGAGAGCCGATTGCTAAATTTTCAGGAATTCTGTCAGCTAGTAGACTTTACATTAGTAGTTTGAAATTGATCTTGATGGGGGTATTTACACTGCAGAAATTGGCAAACACTACAAACAAAATCTCTCCCATATTCTCTACTGCCACTGCCATTACAATGGCATGTTTGGCATTTAGCAGATGGACTCTCATTTTCCCTTGTCCGCTGTTAAAGAGTGTCCAACAACAGGGACCACTTTGCTAAGATATTGGCAGACACAGGGGAGTGTCTGAAATCATGGCTGCCAGCAAACCACCACCTGCCAACTCTGCTTCTTTTTGGCCCACTACTCCAGCATGATGAAGGGGCTTCCTGGCCCCACTGAAAACACTTGCACATCTCAGTGTGGCAAACAGGCATATGATAAAAGATCTAAATCCATATTAAAACAAAATGCTCAATCAGGATGTAGTATAATGACAATGGGCAAGGCAATTCGAAGTTAGGAAAAAATATACTTATTTTGCAGAACTACAGTATTTGTTCCTGAATATGTGGAAGAATTGTTTTCGTATGTCATAAATCCACAGAATTTTAGAGCTGCAATGAACAGAATTTTATAAATAAGAAAAAAGAAAAAGAAGCTGAGACCCAGAGAAGGGAAATGTTGACCCAACATCATACATCTCATAATGCATGTATATCTTGCCCCACACACATGTATTTAGCCATGGAAGAGGAGGAACTCAAGACTCTGATGTTAGCCTGACTTTGAAGAATCCTTAATACTTCCCTTCATTTGAAATGATTATGTTATACCACCCTGCATTCTCCTTTACAGATATAATGATGATACAAATAGTAGTTAAATTTTATTAGGTGTTTACTAGGTGATAGGACTTATGCTCAGTTCTTTATATATTAAGTTGAACTATATGAAATTGCCAATATATGACCTTTTTTTGGGATCTACCAAAATGGTAATTTTCAGATAGGTCTATTTAAATACATCCTCTCTTAATTTTCACCATTTTCCCCCCATGAAGTGAATACTATTATCACACCCATTTTACAAATGGCAAACCTGAGTTTTCACTTTAAAAAATAAATTTAAAAAAATGCTTAAAACCTTTTCTTCCCACAGGTGTAATACTATTCTTGTTTATGGGCAATGAACAATGCACTCTTGTGTGCAAATTGATGGCTCTAAGCAATGGAATGTCACATACAGAATAAATAATAATAACTAATATATCTTGTCTTTTTCAGTAACTTTGAAAATTTTTATAATCAGTAAATTTCTATAATATTTAAAGAAATGCTTTTTAAAATGTTATTTATGAATATAAAGCAAAGGCATTAGAAAATATGAAATTTGATGTTTGTGAAACAGATATTTGCTGTATCCCACATGAAAATGTTAGAAACTATAGCGCAGGGCTCCCCAGGATGAATTAATTGTCCTAGAATTTTCATAATGCTCAAATGAAGAAACTGAGTTATTTTTACAACTTTGTCTACATACAAATTATAACCAACAAAAATCTGAATCAAGACTATTTTTTGTATGACTATATGCAAATACCATTGTACAGAACTCACAACCAAACAGTTCACAAGCAATAATTATTCTCAGAAACAATCAGTACTAACTACATGAGATGATACTATGTTGAATGGTGAGTCAGGAAAAACAATTGGTGAAAACTACAAAATGGATTTTGAAAAAATACCTAAATGTAAATGAAAACTCTTTAAACATGAAACAAGAGCTTCTAATGTCCTATTCACAATTGGAAAAAAAATGACCGAGGTCATATGATTAATCAGCTCTAAATGATGAATCCTCCAAGTTGAAAACTTGGCTGTTGGCCCTCTGTTAATTTAGTCAAAGAATACATATTGAATAACTACTAAAGGGGTCTGGCACGTAAGTAATTCCATATTCTTCCTGACTGATTGGTGGATTATTATCAGTAAGAATCTACTTAAGACAAGCGTGTCTTTTCACCTCTAAAAAACAGGCGGTATTATTTCACCAGCAGCTTAGAAGTTCAGGCATTTGTAGGCTCCATACCTGGCCTGGCCTCTTTCAAGACCCCATATCATTGAACACTTCAAATCCCGGCTCTCAAAAGACCCAAACTCATGCCTACACCTACTAAGTTCAGTCCTGCCAAGAATCAAAGTGCCTTTGTCTCTAAGTGACCATCAAGCACCTAATGTTGTTTTTGCTACCTCCCTGATGACAGAAAAATAATACGGTGATATAGCAAGAAGGCAAACATGCTTTGAAAAATTGCTGAGGTGGGCTACAAGTAATACAAGTGCTACTTCATAGAAACAGAGGATTTTAAAGAAGAAAGGAATGTTGTAGGTGGTGTTTCCACTCCTTTCATTTTATCAAGAAAGAACTTGATGCAGAGACATTTGCTGAGGCTAACTCACCTAGAGAAAAGTGGAGTTTGGTCCCCTGACCCCTCTTCCAGTGCTTTTTGTACCAAACTGCATTGTTATGATTATTTGTGTTACTCTTATTATTAATGATGTTATGGTATATAAGAATATCTTTAGAAATATAAAGACTGACTTAGCTAAGCAACTGTAATCTTCTGGTAAGAACTGCTGGTCTGTACTGCATTATATTTTGTGTGTGATAACCCTAGTCTCCTGGGAAGTTCTCTAAGGGGTGAAGAGGTTTACCACTTGGCTTTGTAAATTTTAGACAATTAAATGCCCAGAGACTATTATTCCACATGTCAGGTGAGTGATGACTTTGAGACAAATAAAATTGAATCCATAAAAATGTTGAACGGGACCCCTCACTTAAACATTTCTTTTGCCAAATAAAATAAAATTTAAAAGTTAAACTTAACCTTACAGAGGAAAGACAAGCTAATGAGCAGTTAACTTACTCTTTTACTGAAATCACCTAATACAATTACCCTTTCTTGAATACTCTCCGCGTTCTCTCCCAATTACTCTTACTATGCTTTTTAGGTTGTTATAACAAGTACATCTGTTCTTATTTTATTCTATGTATATCTTCATGATTCAGCCCAATCTAACTATAAAATGATCTTTTAAAAATAGACAAAACAGAGTGATCACATACCCCATGACGGTCCTCAAAGTATGCCAGGCTGGTTTTGGTTAAAACAAAGAATCGGACTTTAAAGTTTGAAGGAGAAGTTCTTCTCTTTTGTTGAGATTTCTTGATGAGCTGCTCTTCCAGGAGGATAAAGTTGTTCATGATCCAATTCTTGAAAAGTGATGCACCTTGCGCATCACCCCTCAGCACAACCAGAGGAAACAGCTTCAGGGCAAGGAATGCAATGGGGAGGCAGTTGATCTTCAGAGAGCTGTTCAAAGGCAACTTGCCTCCAATATTATCTCTCTATCAACGTTCAGTCAACATTGCGGAGCTTCTCTTCTGATGTCAAAGCCCATAACCACATCCTTTCGAAATTCACAAAACTATGAGGCATATGTAAAAATTATGCATACCCTTTGCTGTATGGTTTAGAAATATTTGAAAAACCTTAGACTCAAAATGATATGACTGATTAGAGTTCAATCTTTATAGTTCCTGGTTTAGCCCATCTAACAGTTAAGCCCCATAACACAAGGGGTAGGAACATGTGCTTTGGAGTTGAGGGACATGGGTTGTATATTAGTTTTCTGTTGGCTTTTTAAATTACAACAAGTTTAGTGCTTCGTGAATTTATTGTTCTGTGGTTCAGAAATGCCAACTGGGTCTCATTGGGCTAAAATCAAGATGTCACCAGGGTGCGATCCTGTCTGGAAGATCTCAGGTAGAATCTATTTCCTTACCCTTCCCAGCTTTAGAGCCACCCACATGCCTTTACTCTCAGCCTTCTTCCTCCATCTTCAAAGCCTATAGCCGTAGTCAATTGCTTCAATCTCATACAACTGTAACCTCTTCTTCTGCCTTCCTGGGTTTGTGTGGATAACCTAAAATAATCTCCCAATTTTAGGATCTGTTTATTAGTAACCTTAATCCCACATTGCACCTTAATTCCCCCTTTGTCATGTAAGCTAACATAGGCACGGGTTCTAGGGATGTCTTTACCTATCAGAGGCTGACTTCTGGCTCCACCAGCTTACTAACTGTGAGACTACAGGCAAATTACTTGAGGGTTCGGAGCCTCAGTGTTTTTACCTGTGAAGGGGAGTAATGGTGCTCCTACATGTGGGGCTGCTTTCTGGCTTCCTTGCCAGTCTCATCTCATACCTTGCTCACATGTTTTCACTTCAGCCCTCATGCATGCTTCTCAGGCTGCTTTGAATATCTGCTCCCGTTGCCTCAAAACATCTCCTCTCCCCTGCTTCACCTGCTCTAAGTTATATTACTAGTGTCAGCCTACATGTCACTTCCTCAGGGAAGCCTTCCTGGCTTTACTAAGTCATTTCCACCAATTATATGTGGAAGACACCTTATGACATATCCTTCATGACAGTCGTCATTGTACTTTTTGGAGGGTGATTTTTGGATTAGTGTTTGTCTTCCCCACTAGTCTCAGGTCAGTTCAGTTCAGTCGCTCAGTCATGTCAGACTCTTTGTGACCCCATGGACTACAGCACGCCAGGCCTCCCTGTCCATCACCAACTCCCGGAGTTTACCCAAACTCATGTCCATTGAGTTGGTGATGCCATCCAACCATCTCATCCTCTGTCGTCCCCTTCTCCTCCTGCCCTAAATCTTTCCCAGCATCAGGGGCTTTTCCAGTGAGTTAGCCCTTCACATCAGATGGCCAAAGTATTGGAGTTCCAGCTTCAATATCAGTCTAGAAGTTCCCTAATGGCAAGGATGGTGTGTGGTTTTGCTCACCATTATATATTTAGCAACTATCATGGTGCCTGGCACATTGAAAGGATGTTTAGAAAAATGTTGAATGAGTAATCAGAAAACTGGGTTGGACAATTATGAGAGACAATGGGCATAAAACCCTTAACAGAAATATTAAAGTTTATTAATTTGTTAAATTTAAATGAATGCTTGTAGTGGTTTATCTATGATACAGTGAAATGATTGCTTTTCCATTGCAAAATTTAGTGGAAATGCTGAAAATAAGTAAATCCTTCAGAATGGCATACTAAACAAAGCATACACAGGCTCTGGAGACAGACAGAATTATGCTGAAATTCCAGCTCTGTCACTTACTAAACTGTTTCTCTTTGAGAAATCGGCTTATCCTCACTGATCTTTAGTCTCTTTGTGACGGCCCTTTGAGAACTGAATCCCATAAACTCTGTAAGTGGTGGGTGCCAGTCATGCATCTGGCCTTAGAATTAGGATATAAGGTATCACGAGTGAGTCCTACTTCTAGCAAGTCATAAATAACAAAGAAATCTCAGTGCAAACAGAGATGGCATATACCAGGCAAATAATAATAAATAAAGAAACAGAACAACCATTATTGCTATAGAGGAGTGCAGTGATCTAAGAATTATTTTCCATGTAGATTACCACACTACAGCTTAATTTTGTCTCATATACTGGATTTGTTGTTGTTTAGTTGCTTGGTTGTGTCTAACTCTTTGAGAACCCCAAAGAGTGAACTGCCCCAGCATAATCAAGATTAGATTTTGGGAAAGGGGATACTTTAAATGGTTTCTACTCCTTTGTTCTGAGGTTTTAAGACATATATGTGGAAATACATTGCCCAAAAGAGGTAGCATTTCTTTTCTCTCCTGAATATGGGCTTCACACAAGGATTGCTATTTTCCCCAAATATCTATTCTCCCCTCCTTTCCAGCTAACTGACTCCCTGAAGATTATCTGGGCATCTAGTCAACCACAATAAAGATTACATTTTTTTAGTCATGTTAACTGTTTTATAGCTAAAACAGTTAAAATAGAGCAAAAGTTATGAGCACAACTTCAAGGAAACGTCCTTAATGGAAAGCATCATACCCTTTTCATTCTCTTTTTCTTCCTTCCCCCTAACTAGAATGTGAATGTGACGGTTGGAGCTGTAGCAGCTATCTTAGACCATCTTAGACCATGAAGTAGAAATTGCATGTTGAGGTTGTTTTGTTGTTGTTATTGTTTAGTAGCTAAGCGGTGTCTGACTCTTTGCAACCCCATGGACTGTAGTCCACCAGGCTCCTTTGTCTATGGGGTTTTCCAGGCAAGAATACTGGAATGGGTCACCATTACCTTCTCCAGGTGATTTTCCCGACCCAGAGATCAAACCCAAGTCTCTTGCATTGGCAGGTTAATTCTTGCTGAGCCACCAGGAGGTCAATGGAATGTAAAATAGATTCTGGGTTCCTGATGATCTTGGGTCCTCCTTGTAGCATGGGAGCAATTTTTCTTTAACATAAAAAGAAAAAAATGTTCTTTTCTAAGCCTTCATCAGTTTGAGATTCTGTCACAAACAGCAAACCTAATTTTAACTAATACAGTGCAAATTCTGAACTAGACTGAAAAGTCCTTTAAGAAGGGTAGATTTATACCTAGTTTGTTTGGGTTGAAAGATTTATAGACTTCACAAAGTATTGCCATGTGGGAAAGCAAAATGTCATCAATAGCTGTTGTAATAGTAGTTTTTCCTTTGCCCAGGCTCCATGGAGTGTAATGATAAGTAATTTTATCCTCTCTCCCTTAGCACCTTCAATGGCACTTGCTGGGATTTTTCTTTGTCTTCACCTAAACATAACCTTAAGAAGCTCAGTATTTCCCCCATCACTCTCAGGAAAACATACCTAAAAATAATCCCTTTGTTTGGTTTGAAAAGTCCAATTTGCAGGACCTGAATTCAAGAAACTCCTACTTGCTAAAGACAGAACAATTTGGGGATCAAATTCATCCTTTATGATGAATTGAAGAACAGTCAAAATGTCCAAATCATGAGTTCATAAAATACTTGAAAAAACTTCCAACCTATCAATAACTTTTGGAGGGTTCTGGAGAGCAAATTTATTATCCTGTAAACTGGAAAACAAAGGGAAAAAATAAAATGTATTTCCTGTTTCTCTTCAAGAACTGTATCTCAGTTTAGTACTCAAATACTTAATAAGGAAAAGTCCTTCTTTACAGAAGAATTACAATGAATAAATTAAGGAGTGATAGAATATCGTGATTTTGCAATCCTAATGACAAAATGGACCTGTGTATTGATCATCAATGGCTGCTGAAATCACATGAAAAGTCTATAGACTGATAACATTGAACACACTGATCAATCTTAACAGCAGGAAGAGTCAACTAGACATTATGTATTTCCTTATGTGATGCAATAGGAAGTACACAAAACCACCTACACAAAAGTCTTGCTAAAAAAGAAAATCAAACATTAATCTCATCAAACCTCTAGATCTAAATTCAAGTTTGCAGGAAATACAGAGATAAAGCAGTGTGAAAAAAGCATAGAGATGCAGTTGGACCAGTTCAGAATATAGACCCTCTGTATCTGTGGGTTTTGCATTTGTGGATTCAACCAACCGTGGGCCAGAAAAATTCCAGAAAGTTCCAAGAAGCAAATTTGAATTTACTGTGTACCAGCAACTATTTACATAGCATTTACAATATATTTACAACTCAGTTCAGTTCAGTTCAGTCGATATAGCATTTATATTATATTAGGTATCATAAGAAATCTAGAGATGATTTAAAGTATACAAGAGAATATGTGTAGATTATATGCAAATACTATTTTTGTATTTGAGGGGTCCTGGAACTTATCCACCATGGACACCTTGGGACCACAGTACCCAAATCATTAAAGATGAATGACCCCATGTCTGTAACAAGTAAGTTAGAGGAAGAACCCATAGATTAAAAGAGACTTTAAGAACCATATCAAGCATGTGCTGATTTTGTTTGGCTTTAAATTCAAACAAATCAATTGTATAAAGTCATTATGAGACAACTGGGAAATCAGAATATTGATTGCATATTTGATAACTAATTATTTTTAATTTTAACGTGATAATGGCATGATTGTGATGATAAAAGTTTTATTTTGTACAGAAGCATACTGAAATAATTATTGATAAGATTTGCTTTGTTATAATCCAGTGGAGGGGGAGAAATAGGTAGGGCAAGAGACGACAAATGTTTGGCTGAGCTGATGATTGAAACTGGATGATGGGTAGGTTGGTAGTGTTTTATTCTCCTAACATTGCTATATACATTGAATTTTTTCATAATAAAAAGTTAAGAAAAAGGCCTTTTCAGTTCAGTCTAATAACCCAAACTCCAAATATATATTCCATTTAATGCTT